AGTTTTAAGGTGGATCACAAGATTTTTAGCAGCACTGACTAATTTAACATTTACAAAGTGATTCAATAGAATTTACTGCAGTCACAAGGACTTAATTATGGATTCAAGATGGCAATATTTATACTGTATTTGCAATCAGGTACCTAAATCTATGCACACATGCACGCACACAGACACAAAGATATATCTATCTATCTATCTATCTATCTATATATATATGAAAAGGTATATACCTGTTAAAAAATCCACTTGAGTTCAGTGAAAAAATCACTTCAAATGTCTCAGCATTTCTCAGTGGGTGAGGTTTGAGCTTCAAGGACTGAAGGGTTTCAGCCCAGGTCCCATCATCGGTCTTTGGTGATGCTCCTCTGAACTTTGCCATCTTGAGAGTCCGCGAGCTCTCAGAGGCATCCCATGCAGAGGGAGATGCTGAGTGCGGCCCGCTGAGGTCTGGGAGAGCTCAAAGGGCCTCAGTTAGGACCACTGTTTGTAAGGTTGTGAGATGACTGACTTTAGGCATCAGTAAATTTCCATCCTGGCCACAATCTGGGTCGGCAGTTACTGGAATTCCCAAAATTCCAGTAATGCTGGTACTGATCCACCTGAGGGGCTGTGAGGGGATGACTGATGATTCCTGCTTTTGTTCCCCACCTTGGCCAGGCAACTGGAGTTCCTGGTACGGTCAAGGGACGCTTAACTGCCAAACTCATTGCATAAAAGCCAAGACTTGATGGGAATTCCTGATATCCTAGAGCGGTGCAGGGGAGGGGGTGGGGGGGAAATGCATCACCATAGGCACAGACCCTGGCTCTCCAGCAGCCAAGTTTCATCCCTGACTGAGCAAATCCCTTCTCTCTCGGCACTTTACCTTCCTTACCTTACCTTTGTATCTTTAGTTGCTAAGCTCTGTGGGACAGTGTCCTCTCTGTCAGCCGAGACCTCTCAGAGCTGCTGCAATGCAAATATTCCATTTTCTGTCTTTCAGTATATTCACGAAATCTCCAGTGTTTTATCAAGCCCTGACAGAACACTTGGCTTGTCTCAGGAGAGGTTTTCCTATGTTCAGCAACTTCTAGGGTCAGGACTTTGATTTAGCTGAACCAATTGATTAAAATGGCTTTTCTTCATACTGTGTGCTCGGTTCATTCCTTTCTCCTTTTCCAATACTTAACTAAATATTTCTGTCTGGAATTTGCATCAACATCTGTCTTGAGTTACCATTGTTTTAAACTAAATCAGACTGATTTTCTTAATTTGATTTGTGTCAGTGTCTCCAAAGAGGACTGGGTGGTGTGATATGTTGCTCCTTGCCTTCTTTATACAAAACAGACTATTAATTCTTATGGTCTGGGAAGTAACCAGCTTCACAGGAGTGTTTGTGTAGATGAGAACCGTTGCTTTGCTGAGTCCTTGGAATCTGTCTTCTTATGCAGAGTGATAACTTTGATTATAACATTAGGCAGTATGTAATATGTTGCAGCATGTGATGGGTGTATGTGTGTATTTCCGTTTTCTTTGTGATACAGTGAGATATTGACTAGCTGGTGCAGAAAACAAATTTGCTCAAATATATTCTACTGATTGACCAATTCTTCAGTGTAAATATCGCCTCTAAGCCCAGGATTCTTGAAGAGTGAATTGTTTTTCTTAATGTTATTGAGTGACAACATCCTCAAAACGCAGCCATCGTGCAAAGTTGCCTATATGGAGTGCACAGCAATTCAGTTGTCTTGGAGTATATAGTTACCTTTATAATGGATATTGCCACATCGCAGGGCGGTTTGCTGTTAATTCCATGTTCTTTGCTGCTGACTTGGCACACACTGGGACTATTGGGTCAAGCAGCTCTTTCTGGATGTGCATGCCTCAGGGTAAAGGAAGTCAGTCTTACAATATTGCAATGTAAGGCTGCTCTGCAGAATATTAGTTTCATAGCCACAAGATAGAGCATCATTATGTTACTTTTCCATCCTCCATTAGGCATAAGTTCCCCTGGAGGAGTGTTTGTGAGTCTCTTTTCTTCCTGACCTTTAGTATAGAGGAACACATCAACCATCTGAGGCAAAATCTGCCTTTGTGTCTCATGCTTGTACAGATCCTG